CCTAATTTGATGGTTTCTTGCTTGTAATTAACCAATATAAAATACATGTTATAACAAATTTTGCATCGCTTTTTTTTTGCAAAAAAAAAAAAAAAAAAACGAAAAACATTATTGATTATTAAAATTTAATAAGTTTAAATAATGATTAATGACAGCAAGTAATTTTATTTTTATTAGCTAGATGACATACGTATGTAATACGTAATTTTCGTTCCGACTGTTCATACCGTTCCGATCTAGCTTTCCTGACAATTATCCGATCCCAACCTGGTACACATTTTCCAGGTGCGAGTTCAAATAGCCAATTTAGATAAGATTAATTAATTAATAAATAATTTTTATACACATCGAATAAATTATTACTACGTAATAAAATAAAATAAGCATATTTTTGAACCGAAATCAAATAAGATAATGACGATCTTGTACTAATACTGTTATTCATCTATTGCTGATATATATTTAGGATATATATACATCAATATATATATTATTTAACCAAAATGTATTGCATTTGACACTTCAATACGTAAAACTAAATTTTCTAATATAATGCATAACATTTTTGAAATACACATCAAATGAAATTATTAAAATCACCAATGCTTTTTTTTAATCAACTAAAATTCGTTGATTATCCAAAATCAGACGATATAAATGATTCATATGAAATATTCTGGCTTGGTTATTGTTATTAATATGGGATTGGAGTTGAAAAAGACATTCATTCATTATTAAAAATCTGCAAAGATGAATAATTCTAACGGAATGTTGTTGGTATTATTTAGGAATTGGGTTGAAATAGATAAACATAAAGCATTTATACGTTATCAGCAATCAGCTGAGGTTGGTAATTCTATGGGAATTTTTAAAACTACTATTTGTTACAGATATGAAATTGGTGCTGAGGAGAGTTATAACAAATATTTTAGTTGGATTTTCAAGTAATTTATTAATTTTCGTTAATAATACAGTATATTTGAATTTTACATTTTGAAATGGAAATTTTAAATCTTTAGGGTGTAGGTATAATGTCAATTATATTAAGCATAAAATTCTAAATAATATGATCAAAATTAATTTATTCGTGTTAACATAGTCCGTAAGTATAAAGAAAAAAATTTTTATTGCTCTAGGTGTTTATAACAAGCTATATATTTTAGCTTATGAATATTTACTATTTTTCGCATTTAATTAGTATATATGTGAATATAATGAACATTATTAATATAATCATTTAAATTATGAACATTACTATTTTAGCCGGTGAGTATAAAGAATATTTATTAATCTAAGTATTTAAAAATAAGCCACTCAATCTTATGAATATTTACGCGTTAATTTAGGGAGTAAGTATAAAGACAATGTATTAATATAAGTATTTTAAGAGCATAAAATAAAATAAACTATCCATATTTATTAATTTCATTTTAATTTTCCGGTGAGCATAAAAATTATTTACACTTAAATGTGGAAGCCGCGTAAATAATGTGAAACTAATATAAAATATAATGAATGTATAGAAGTTCACATTACGGAAAATGCGCGCATTTTAATAAATATAACACGAGCAAAGCATGGTGTCAAACATGTGATCCTGACATAACAATTCAAGGATGGACAAGTGGAAATAAAGATATTGACAATTGCATGAAAGAGTTTCAACTTAGAACTACTAAATATGAAAATATGATTGAACTGATTCCATTTGGCAGGCTAGATAATATTAAAAAAATTGGCGAAGGAGGATTTGGCTCAGTATTTTCTGCAACTTAGTTGGATGATATACGAAAAATTGAAGAAATTAAGGAAAACGATAACTATTTCCACGTGAGGGCACGTAAACCTAATATCGTTGCGTACAAAACTTTGTATAATTCTAAGAAAAATCCTCTTAATTTTTTGAAAGAGGTAAGTTAATTGTATAGCTTATTAACGCATGTTGAATTACTGTAATTCATTTATACAGTATAATTTATAAGGCTTGATAATCATGGTAGTAGTCTAAAAGTATATGGATTAACTCAATATAGAAGCAAATAAAATATTTGAATATGCTGATAATGGAAGTCTTTGTAAATTTTTAAGAAAAATATTTTATATTACCTGGCTGACTAAATTAAAACTACTTGAAGATATTTCATGGGATTTACGGCTCATTCATGACGCAGGATATATTCATGCAGACTTTCACAGTGGTAATATTTTGCAAGATAAAGGCATTAGTAAAAGTATGCAATCTTATATCTCAGATCTAGGATTATCTAGAAAGAATGATAAAAATGATTCAGAAGGTCGTATTTATGGTGTCATGTCTTATGTAACACCAGAGGTTTTACTAGGTCAAAAGTTTACAAATGCTGTTCAACTGGCTGGAGACCTTTTGATGGATATCAATTTGATATTATTTTGCAGTAAAGATTTGTATCGGATTGCGGCCTGAGTTTGCTTCTGGAACTCCTGATTGTTATACTGAATTAGCTAATCAATGTATAGATTCTGATCCACAAAAATGGCCTAGTGCCTTGCAGACGAAATTAAAAAGCAATTTTTAGATGCAGATAAAATAGTCAAAGAACTGCCAATTATTTTACAAAAGCATCCTGATTTTATGCATACTAGTAAAATAATCAACACTCAACAATTAAAGGTATTTATTTTAAATATTATGCTACATAATTTATTTATCTATAAAGTATACTATATATTTATTTAAATTAATTATACTATATTAGCAACTTTATCAAGTAGACCTGTTGATTCTATTGAAGTTCCACCTAGTATCATTAACAAATTTATTATATATTATATTATTAAATTATATAATATTTTAAAAGGATGTAAATTTATTATTCATTTAAAATACGTATATATTATTTGTTAGATAATAAAATTTTTGAGATATAAACTTAGACAGAGTTTAAAATTTGGGTGCAGATAAACTAATTTTGTAATAAGTTTTGGTTTACTCTAAAAAATACAAGAACTCCCATTGTGACAATGAAAAGGTATATTTAGAATTCCAAAGCTTCTTTAGTAATTTTTTTTTTTCAAGCATTGATTAGTCTTCTTTTCGGCATTTTTATATCAATTTCGATGTTAAATACTGCAAAACAATTAATAAACATCCATTCACTTTATTATAATATTATTTTTAATTTCATCATAACTGTATAATTATTATATTAATAAAGGCTTGTATAATACCTAGTATACATGCAATAATTAAAAGAAATAGAGTTACATTAATTCTTCTTCTACCCTATTCGAACATAGTTTAACAAATTCTCTTGCATAAAATTTATACTAAATTAAATAATTAAAAAGAAATGTCTAATTTACTGGCACTTTATAAATCCTGAAACATCAGTGGCACATTTAACGCATAACCATTCAGCCAGAGTATTTCTAATGAAATTTCTTGCACATTTCAATGAATCACTATCAACTGATGTTGGAAATCTCAAGTCATTAACGTGAGACCCATTTTTGATTAAGAAAACTTTGTTTCGTGAGATAGTTCTGAAATTTGAACCACTAACTGTCAAACTTTTCCATGGATCTAGTTCACCTGTTGATAAAATAAAATGAAACAGCATGTTATTTATAAAGATATTGAAGGAAAAAAAAAAAACAAGTATAACCTACCATTTATAAATATGGTTCGGGAGAATATACCAGTATTCCCTCCAAATTCGAGATTAGTGATTTGAACACGTGGCGGTGGAATTTCAGGATACAAAAAGTTACATTGTTTTTGATAATATTCCCTATCGACAATTTGTGATCGAAACCTTTGTTTTGGTGGTTTTGGAGCTACTTGATACCAACCAAATTGTGTACAGTACTATTAAATAAATTGATTAATGTTAATATATATATATATTATATCATATAAAGTATATTTGAAGATAACTAAAACTGTATTAACCTGATATAAGAATGAAACTAAGTCGTTAGGTACAACCGAAGTATTAAGTGCTGAAGTAGCAAAGTTTGCTTTAATAGCGTCAGGAGTAATAATTCCAGATACGTTCAAAAAGAATTTAGTAACTTGAGCTAAAATCAATGCCGAAGTTTCTGATTTATTATCAGGTGCTTGAGCGAATGCAGCACAAAATGTTGGAATAGTATCAATTTCTGAAGGAGAAGTAGGAGGAAAATATGTTTGAACCATTAAAGAAATTGGATGACTAATAGCCGAAGCAAAATCTTGATCATCATCTAAAACATCAAGACCGAATTGTGATTTAAGAGCTGCAATTTCTGTACGGTTACCGGATAATAAAATTGGGTCAATGAAATTTTTAAATGCATCAGCAACTCTATCACGACATGGAAGAGCATGAGCAACTCCTTGATCATATTCGAAAAAATTAATTTTAGAAAGTAAAGGAGCTGAAGATGCCCAAGCAGCAAATACGAGCTTAGGGAATTTTTGACGCATCCATGTTGCCAAATTTCCAGAATATGAACCACCAACAAAGATCCATTTAGCATCTTTAGGGCACTCTATTACGTCAGTTGGAGGATTTTTTATAAATTCAGCAAAATCAGCAAGGGCTTGGTTAACAGTTAAGTATTTCATGTTTGGAGTATTAAGATTTTTAATCGGTGGGTAACTTTCACCATAATATCGATGTTCAATAGTAATAAGTAATCCATTGAAACTTGCGACAATTTCACTAACTCCAGAAGCTTCGACTATTTTAAGATCAATTGCACCCTCACCAGGAGTGTTGAGAAAAATAGGACCACCGGGTTTATAATAAGTAGAATTAATGAGGAATCTTTGAGAAAAAGTTCCACATGACTTATCGTTGTGATCAATAAATTGCTTATAATAATGATATGAAGACTGAGAATTTGTTTCATTTACATCTCTAGCATATACATTCGAAGTAAGATGGACCGAAAGAACGGAACAATCCAAGAGAATAACCAAAATAAATAACAACCGAAATATGACAGCGGATTTCATTTATAATTAGCAATAGTAGATGATTTGGATGTTTTGGATGTTTTGTTGGTGAGTATATTAAGTTATTTTGATTAATTTCTCTTGGATTAGTAAAAGTATGAGAAAAGTGAATTGTTTAAGGAGGGAATAGTTGGAGATATTCTTTCCAGGTATTTGAGTTTTTTAACTGAAACAAAACCATAGTCGTCTGATATTAAGACATTAAATCACAAATAATATTTGTATTATATTATCCATTTGCATAAGGGAATTCTTTTAAAAAGAACAATATCACGGATTGAAGAATACGACGTCTTGATTGTGTTTAACACTAATATTGTTCTATTTTCCTATAATTTATTGGCTGCTCGTTCTTTGAGTAACCCAAATTTAAAATAATGTCATAAAAAATCTTATTACCCCTTTTAGGTCGAATTTTAGATTATTTGTTACCATGTTTGTCAATCTAATTATTCAATAAACTCCATTTGGTTGGTTGTCGATTCTCGAAATGTTATTGGCTACCCTATTTCAGATTTACTATCGCATCTGATTGAATTTTCCAGAAGCAAGCACAAAATTTCTTTACCCATAAAAAAAAGTTAATCTGTGTTTTTATTCATAAAAATGGTATAACTTATTTATGGATTTATTCCTTCAAATGACTGAAATTATAGGGTTAAAGTTTTATCGACAGTCTCTTATAAGGCCATATAAATAACATAAAAGACCCGCCCGCCCGGACTTTTATTTTATAAAGCTATAACCCGGAAATACATAATAGAATTTTGGTCAAATCTATAACGAGAATGCTAAGAATTCCTGTTTTATTTGGGTTAAGCCGGTTTTGTATATAAAAAATAAATAGGTTCCAACTAGGCATGAGACTGGACGGGCTGTTAGACTAATTAAATATAAATTATTATGTATTATTACCCATTTATTATTATAGACTTCATTCAAAGTATTAGTTTATTACTTTATTACATAAGAGCTACTTCTAAACTAGAGATGCGATCCGTTATCCATTTTCCTATTAAGGATTCTTTTAGTTATAAAATTAAATTAGAGGATATCCGGATCGCATCTCTAACTCTAAACAAATATTCAAACCTATCAATAATGGCAAGCGCATAAATTTGAAAATCATGCGCATGATTTTGTAGGTATATATATTTTAATGAATAGGTCGTCTTATCACTTCTGATACATGACATATTATGTAATAATTTAAAAAATTTATTATTAATATTTAATATAATAATTTTTATTTTAAACTATAGTTTGGAAATATGTATATTATAATCTTAAGCTAAAAAAATAAATAAATTATATTTTAATTAAATATTTTTCATTGTTAATTTATAGATTTATAATAATATAGTTAAATTATATCTTTATTAGTTTTTAAGTTTTTTTTTTATTATGCAAACTATATATAATTTATAAGATAAAAATATTCTTAATAATAATTTATATAAAATAAAATTTTTAAAAATTTTAAAATTTTAAAATAGTATAATTTATAAACTAAATACTAGTAAATATAAAAAATATTGTAATTTTTAGTCTAAAATATATTATATATAACAAGTTAATAAAATTTATAATTAATAAAATTTTAATTAATATCAACTTAAAATAGAGTTAAAAGGATTATTTTTTATGTTTATACTTAATTAAAATATTTAAAATGAAAAAAACTAATTATACATAGGTGTTTGTACATGGGTATTAATTTGCAAATTTGTGTAATATGCAAATCAAAACAATTTGCATAAAACAAAAAATTAAACACTATCTAAAATAGAGGCGAGAGGTATTATATACCAAAATTTTACAAGAAATTTTTTTTACTAATCCCTCAAAGGTGGTTTCATAAGTGAAATTATAAGTTATAAATAAAGTTTTTAAAAAACATTATTTTATCTTACACCAGATCATGTAATCTTATTATACCCATGTTCAAACACCTGTGTACAAATAGAAATGCCCATTTAAAATTTACAAATTTATAAATTTTTTAACATTTTTAACCTAAAATTAATATTAAATTTACTATATAAACTAGTAACTTTTATATAATAAACTAGTTTAAATTAATGTTTTATTATTTGATATAACTTTTTTTTTACATAATAACTTTAGTTGAAATTTTGCATGTTATTTCTTGATAGTTACACCAAACTACTTGCGTAGTAGCACAAAAAATACTTAGTTTTAATTGGTTAAACTTTAAACATATTAAAAAAACTAATTTTTATAATTTTTTGATTTAAAAATTGAATATTTTTAAATTTTTTTAAAAAATACTAAATCAAAAATAATAAATTTTTTTTTATAAATAAATTATATAAATACTCATATATTGTATATATTTTTTTGATTGCTAATTAATATATAAAATTTTGAGCTATTATATTTATTTTAAATATATTTATAGAATATATCAACATTAACAAAATTACCAATATATTATAATATAAGTTTATCTAGATAATCATTTTAAATAATCAAAAATATATACCTAATATTATAATAAAATAGAGATTAAATAAAAAAACTAATTAAAATTTATTATAATTGTCTAAGCCTCTAAAAACCTTGTACAGTTAATAAATTACAAGTATTTTATACATATTTACCAATCATTTTTCATGTGAAAAATAAGATACAACTTATATTCTTATTAATTTATTTTGAATTACTGATTTATTTTAATGGTAAAAATATGAGTTTTTATAGTTGTGGGAGTTTATTATGATAACCACACAGATTGTACAGAATAATTTTTAAAACAAGTATTTTGGAAATTATGAAAGATCTAAATAGTTGGATGACCAAATTATATAGTAAGAGAGTATAAAATATTTACTATATAAGCGTGAAATAATGCCTATCTGTGTATATTTTGAATATATCTATATGCATTATTTCCAAATAAGAGAGAATTTTCTAAATTCAATATAGTCGATCTTCAATAAATACATATTGTCAGGTAATGGTATATTTATAAAATATTCATTATGGAGAATAATCTACATATAATATTAAATAATTATATAGATTATGTGTATTTATAGAGTATATGCATATGAAACTATAAAGAAATGACTTATTTTAAATATATCTATCTGCTATTATAATCATTACCACTAAATCAATAAAATAAGAAATCAAATTAAAAGTGAATAAGCACTATTTATCTTTCACAATAGCAGGAATAAAGGGTAAATTTCTGGTTATATGAGGGCTCTTCAGGCTCTTATATACAGTCAAATCTCCATAAATGCAACCTCCATAAATGCAATACGCACATTCCTGGCCTGGCTGTAAGAAATCATTAGTGCTAAATACACGTTCTATATTCTGCAAATGCACATTCACTCGAAAGATTTTCTATATCATACTAACCTCCCTAAATGCACGTAGCCAATTAGAATTCAGTATTCAAGTTGTATTATACAAGCCTGCAGATCAAACATTAAAAGCTGCAATTTGATTGGCTTTTTCTAAATGCAAACCTCTCTAAATGCATGATTGAAACTGGTCTGTATGCAGTACACTTATGGAGGTTTGACTGTAACTAATTTACTGGCTTATTTCTCAGAGTAAAAATGAGAGTAATATTTTTCATTTTGAATATTATGATGTGAATCATATAAATTGTAATAGCAATTTCTTCTTTTGTTCTACAAATTTTACAATATTGATGATAAGATTAGTATACTATGTTCTAAAATATCATATAAGTGTAAAATTACATTTGTAAGCATTATTTTAAAAATCAGATTCTTCAAAAACAACTTATATGGTCTTGAATTAGTGCTCATAGATGTTCCAAATTAATGCACATCCTAATGTAGCATATAACATGCAGGTGGGCATTATTTCAAGCTTATACAGTAGTATTTTACTATATAATTTGGTCACCAACTATTCAGAACTTCTGTAATTTCTAAAATATTTATTTTAAAAATGAAAGTTCATATTTTTAATATTAAAATAAATTGGTAATTCAAAATAAATTAAAAATATAAGTTGTACTTTATTTTTTACATGAAAATAATTAATAAGGAAGCTAATAATTATCAGGTGATTTTTTAGAAGAGGGGTTAAAAAAATTGAAATTTTATATATAAGACCTGATAATTTATATATTAAAAACTAGAGGGAGTAAGCCTCTGATAAAAAAAAATCAAATGATAAATAACACTGCTCTAAGAATATATAGAATATTCGTGATAAATGATAATTTATTAACTGTATAAGGTTTTTAGAGTCTTAGGCAATTATAATAAATTTTAATTAGTTTTTTATTTAATCTCTATTTTATTAGAATGTTTTATAGTATAGGTGGGCAATATAAAAAATAAACTCTGCTACTAATTAGTAATCATTAATAAATATTTAGCAGAGTTGTTAAGTTTGCGAAGTCTGCCTACCTATTCTATAGAACATCCTTTTATTATTATTATTTTTTTTTAACTTTATTGATAACACATACTGAAGATTGGCCAGGCTTTGTCAAGACCCCAATTCAGAGTTACCTAACTATTTACATCAGACCTTAGGCCGGCTTTTCCCACAGGACGCCCAACCTAGTTACCTCACTGATTATTGGCTACAATACTCCACACACAGTGTCCATATTTAAAGATATTATATAATCTCAGCTTTAGCTGCCCCATTGCTAGGGTATATGTCCCACTCATATATTCACCCAGACTTCGGTAACTTTATGCCACAGCTTGACTTATGCACTTGAGGTCAGGGCTAACCATTAAACCCCTGCAACTAACTAGTACAAGTACCAATCTAGTATATATATTACTATATATCCTGGGTCCCTCCCTCCGCGATGTTGCAGTTCCCAGATCCATACCTTCTTAACTAGTTGCCTATTACCTACTTCCACCCTTGTATAGGTTTATAACAACTCTGGTACCCGCATTCAGACCGTCTTCTTACCCGGATTCTTTATCGATCTCTTCCTTACTTCCAGCCGGCAACCCGGAAGA